AAAAGATGTCTCGCGATAGGGTGTTTCTTCTTTCAAATTCTGCTCACCACTAGTTGAAACATCTTTAGAAGATGTGTCGATATGAAGTGTGTTTTCTTTCACAATCTGATCGCGACCAGTTCGAACATCTTTAAAGGATGTGTCGCGATTGGGTGTTTCTTCTTTGAAATCCTGTTCACGACCAATTGAAACATGTTTAAATGATGTCTCGCGATGGAGTGTTTCTTCTTTCAAATTCTGTTCACGACTAGTTGGAATATCTTTAAAAGATGTCTCACGATGGGGTGTTTCTTCTTCCAAATTCTGCTCACGACTAGTTGAAACATCTTTAGAAGATGTGTCGATATGAAGTGTGTTTTCCTTCACAATCTGATCGCGACCAGTTCGAACATCTTTAAAGGATATGTCGCGATTGGGGGTTTCTTCTTTGATATCCTGTTCACGACCAATTGAAACATGTTTAAATGATGTTTCGCGACGGAGTGTTTCTTCTTTCAAATTCTGTTCATGACTAGTTGGAATATCTTTAAAAGATGTCTCACGATGGGGTGTTTCTTCTTTCAAATTCTGCTCACGACTAGTTGGAATATCTTTAAAAGATGTGTTGCGATGGGGTATTTCTTCTTTCGACTTCGTTTCATGAGCAATTGGAACATCTTTAAAAGATGTTTCGCGACAGGGTACTTGTTCGCTATGATTAATTTGAACATCTTTGAGAAATTTTTCGTCATAAAAGTCTTCTTTGCAGGACGGGTCATGACAGGATGGGAAACTCTTAGGTACTGGTTCTATAAGCGATGGTACTTTCACAAATAACGACGAGTTACGACAAGATGGGACGTTGACACTGCGCGTTCTGCTACGATTTTTATCAGCAATACAATCTTTCTTAATTAGGCCAGTGCATAGTTGACAATTTGGATAGAGATTTGTCCCGATGTCCGATAAATAGAACTTATGTGCATACGGGAACTTTTCTGTATTCTCCCCATTCTTATACGTGCAATCGCTTAAGTTTTCGGTAATTCTAGGACGACCTGTTATCTCATTATAAAGTTCATAGAGACCTTTCATCCACTTTCTCATATTCTTAAATTTTTCCTTTCGTCTACATTGCCATTCTTCTTTCAAAAATTGGTGCTTTTTCGGTTG